GCTTCCCCTAGCGATTCTCCCCAAGTGCCGGGTTACTTTATTGGCCAACCCCACCGGCCCACCCCTCACGGAGTACAAAAAAAAAAAAACCAACAACGAGAGCTGGAAAAATGTGCAACGTCAACGCGCTCGGAGTCTACGTGTGGGAGACGATCGTTTTCTTCAGGTAAGGTTCAGCTTTACGGGAGGAGTGTGTGCGCACCAGGCGCTGCCGGGCTGGACTGCCGTGCCCACCCCAAGCTCGGGGCACAAGCCCTAGGTACAGCCTCAGCCTTAGGACAGCGGCGTTCTGCTTTTCTAGAGCTGCCTTTTCGCCTCCTCTCGGTTCCCTGAGGCCGGCTATCTCGCACAGCCCCGGGCTCGGGACTTTCGGCGGGTTAGGGGAGTTACTCCGTTTAATTAGCACCGCAATCTCGCTAACCGCAGTGCTGAAAACACCGACCCCGGCTGGTTGCAAAGTGACAACTAGTGGCGGCTGGGAATGCTGCACTTGAATTTGCCCGGGTAAATATTCCCACTTCGCCCCCTCCCCATCCTCAGATTGCAGGTTAAGGTGAGTTCCGTGGGATGCTTTCACTGCTTAGCTATGGTATCTAGAGAAGTCGCGGGACTCCTTTTCAAGGAGGGCTCACCTTATCTGCTCAGCTTGCTATGTCTAAGTCACTGGAAACAAAGAAATAATCACCTTCCTTACCAACTTTTTCCTTCATGTTGTTTTCAACATCATTTAACTTCTGCAAGGGGAAGAAAGCCAAAGGGGAGCTTTTTTACAATTATATCCATTATTGACTAGCTGTATTTTGACTCTGGTTTAGATGTGTTCAGTTTGTCGGTAAGGCTAAGGTAGGAGAAGGAACAGTTTTAATTGTAAAGAATTGTTTCTGGTCCATCTCTCCTTGCAGTGCTTTTATTAAATGGACAAAAAAAATATTGTAAGGTAGCAGCTCTTCTGTATTTGCATAAATAGTGCTGCTTGCTGTAGCAAGTGATAGATGCCATATACACACAATTGAAAAAACCCACAAACAAAAACCCCCACAAAACTCCCACCTTTTTTCATGACCTGAACTTGCTCATCAGTCTTAGACTTCATTTCAGTTGCATGGCTCTTACTTCTGCATTTCTGTATTATACCAAAGTCTCATGTCATAGTTTAACATGAAAGAACAGACATTATTTACATATACATCACTGGTGTAATACTTATTATTTTATGAATCACAGTAGAAGACCTGCTGATACTGGCCAGACTTTTCTAGCTAGTGGTCTCTTTCCTTTTGAACACTAAAGTCTTTCCAGGCTTAAAATTTAGGATATCCCCCCTTTTCCTGTAATTCGACAGAAAATCAAAAGACAGAAAGATTGTAATGTGAACTCAAAGTATTTAATGTTTATCTGTTAGGTAAACCAAGAAAGAAGTTCTAGAAATAACTAGAATCACCAATATCTGAAAGGCAATGCGCAACACCAAATACTTCAGAGCCATCCTTTCTCATCTTATTTAGTCACAAGTATATTGCAGCACTGCACAGTATAGCAGGGTAGACTAAGGAAGCATACGTATGAGCAATAAACTCATTAGTTAAATAATTTCGAAGCACAGAGATAAAAAAACCAAGACTGAACAACACAAATGCTCTGGAATGCAGTCTGTAAATAAGCTAGAAAGCAAAAGGAAAATAAAGAGTGTTTCCAGGCTTGAGTTTTCTATGGCATTAAGGCATCTGACCAGCTCTCCTCTGAACTGCCTGAACAAGTGCAATTGTTACATATTTGTTTTGCTGATCCTGTCCTATGATGCACACTTACACATCACACAACATATGTGAGCACTTACAGACTCTCAACACGTCAATTAAAGTCCTGAGCACTCAAAACCTTGGTAAACCAGTCCCTTCAGGTTCTAATGTAAATGTTTATACTGTTATAAATTATATGCATATATGTGTGCTATATATGATTGTTATATTGCATACAAAAGGTATTTCTGGAAGTCTAGTTTTCCCAAAATTAACATCTAAGAAAATTTGAAAATGCCTTAAATTATAGATGTTGAAGCCAAATTGGTTTATGCATTGCAATAATTTTTCAAACAAGAAAAACTCAGTAATTCCTGCTCAGAACTGACTCTAAGCAATATTTTTCTGCCCCCCTGCTCCCCCGCTTTGTGCTATGTGTTCAATTTATTACAGACCAAAAATCCACAAGCCTTTCTGGTTCAGGAATAGCTTTGCTATTTCAGTTTCAGTAAGCAAAGTTTATTCATTAACAGTCATTCATAAATTTAGTGTGCCAATTACTCCAGCACTCAGTCATACATAACGTTTAGAAAACTCACGAGCTGATAATCCAATAATCCCTAATAGAAGTATGCATTGCTTTAAATTGCAGGGTGTACCACGCTTTACTCTCAGCCTGTCAAAAATACAATGGATTCTCTTTCCAGAATATGTTAGCACATACACCACAAAAATAAAGAAAAATCCAAAGTCCTGAAGGAAAATTAGATATAGCCAATATCAGAAATAAGACTAGATCTGTTGCTTAACAAAAATGTCCTTCACCAGCTTTTTATAAAACAAGACCCTGTAGGAAAGAGTAACAGCTGGTGTGTGAATGCAAACATTATGGTATTGCCAATATGATATTTGTTTCTGTTACAGTTGGGCTGTTTTAGAAGGAATTTGCAATAAGCAGCTTATACTGACATGCCTTTCTTTACGGAAGAG